CATGGTTAAGTTCGTGTGTGAAAATTAGGTCAACGAGAATGGCGCATATCATAAAAATATTGTTGAAAATAACTTCCTTTTCCTTTGCTTACGTTGCAATTCTGCACAACCAACGGTGTTCATGGGCAACGCTCCAGATAAAGATCTAAATATTTTATATATATTTGAAATTACATGTCTGTTTTAAAAAGAAAGCTCGCCACACCGGCGTCTGTGGTGCAGCATTTAGGCGCTTTGCGGTCGCATGTAAGAGACTCTGGTTCGATTTCCGAAAAGGGAGAACATTTTTATCGAGTGCGTATCTCGGTCTTTCGGCTGGGATTTTGTATCCCTCTCTTGGACCTGACAAGCTTGGTCTGCAGCCTGCCTCCAAAAGGATCTAAATTGTGTCGAAATGGACATTTGGGCATAAGAACATGTACATCATTTAAAGTTCGCCCAAGTATCCAGTAATAACGCCCAGAAATGCCCTAGCCTTGTCGATAGAGCTACTTCCCCTTCATTCATGCTTCTGAACTGTTGTTGTCACAACGCTATGATAACAATAACACGGTAGTACGGTGTAGGTTTAATGCAATTTAAGCTTAAAACTACACTACGACTAATCAGTTGGCCAGCGATTTTGGAGGTGAATTAATTATGGATAATGAAAACAAATATAGAAGAAGCCTACCGCACCAGCACAACACAATCATTTATTTAGTTGTATTTCTCTTATTTTCATTTTTTACAATATACCGAGAAAACCGTCGGCCAACTGTTCTGTCGCAGTGAAGTACGATCCAGACGTGATCTGTATTGGTATTTAAGGTTAGGGAGCTCCAAATGTATCCCCAACTCCGATAGGACCGTACCAACTAGACAGCTCGAGCTTTGAAATCTTCCTTTGAAATACTTGTGCGATAATGTTGAAGAGTCATGGGAGAAACGTCTGGGGAGGGGGGGGGCATGACGGTCACCGGCGGAAGGTGGTACTTTGTGTGTGTATGTGTGTGTGTGTGTGTGTGTT